GAGGCAGCGGGCAGCAGGGAGGGGCTTTGGAAGCCCAGGAAGCTGGCACCTGGCGTGGAGATCAGGGTGGCTTTCAGCTTCCCGGGCTTCCAAAAAACATCCTGTGAAAATAAGCCCTAATGCATTTTTGGAGCAGAAATTAATATAAGACCCTGTCTTATTTTTGGGGAAACACGGTATTTTATTCCTCCCAATCTGCCATTTGTCTCTCCGTATTTCTTCACCAGAAGCACTCAAGCTTCTTTTTGCCTTGTCATGGTAAGTGCTAATCCTTGCCTCTACCTTTCTCTATATCTCACCTGTAAGGACTAGTATACAGCTCCCCATACTAGTGGATATATTCAATGTATGTTTTTATAGTCCCTCCTGCTCCAACTGCAGCCTCAGCAATGACAGGCTAGACTGCCAAAAGCTAGCAATGGTGTCTAAAACCCAACCCTCCAAAAAACCTTTTCCTAGTGTTCCCTTCCAGAATGTAAAGAGACTCTTTGCTTTTCATATAGACAAGTTTTTCAGGATGCAGGCAGAAGAGATGGAACCCACAGTTTCTGATGATTGTCTTTTCCAACTGTGGTGAGCAATTATGAACAAAATTCATTTCATGAGTCTATTGCAACACTACAATTCTTAGAAGAGATCTATGTGCATCCACAGTAGAAGGATCTATAAGGGGATTGACTGCATAGAGTTGATTAATTGGAACCAGTTAGTAGGATGCTTTACTCCTCTAAATAACAAATATCACATAGATTTTTTATTCTTTCAAAAGCTGTTATAAATACAAGAATAGAATGGAGAAAACTTACAGTAGTCTATGACCATAATAAAACTGTGACTACTTTTCAGACAGATCAAAGGAGATCTTTTTGAGTTTTAAATTTTTCATATTAGGTATGAGTTTGTTTCAACATCTATTTGGTCCCCATACCTGCCCCTGCTTCATCATGAGCCTCGGTATGCTCAAATATTGAAAGGGGTGAGGCTGTAATATCTCTGGCCACCAAAGAAGCAAAGACAGATAAAGTGGGGTAGTGGTAGGAGAAGACATTGAACACAATGTGAGAGAAACATGGACTGTTCAGCTGTTAAATTCTTCTGGGAGTGAGAGGGAGAGAATAAAAGCATGCGTAAATCTGAGGCCTGTTCCTAATCCCATTCTGGGAGAAGATCTGAACAGTGCTCCCCATAAAGTCATTCTAATCTTCATATTCTGGTTAAAGTGTGCCCCCACTCCTATGCATATTTAAGAGAAAACTAGGTTATGACCAATAAGAATTCTAAAGGCTTCCTGGAGACAGATAGGCAGAGAACAGGGGCTACTGGTTGCTTCTGTCCACCTATGTTTGCCACCTTACTTCTCCTTTAGCAAGTAATTGTTTACGACCCCTCCATCCCTCCACTTTAGATACTCAAAGTGAAATTAGCATAGAGTAACAAATACAAAGACAGACAACTGTTCTACATTCTATATTGTTTATTTCTGTTTATTCATATTCATTACATTAGTATTTATTTATTATACAGTGGTGCCTCGCATAGCGAGGTTAATCCGTTCCGGATTAACCTTCGCTATGCTGAAGCATCGTTAAACGGTACAGAAAAGCCCATTAGAACGCATTAAACATGGTTTAATGCGTTCCAAATGGGCCAAATACTCACTGTTCAACGAAGCTTCGTAATGGCCGGCAGCCATTTTCGCGCCCTCCCCTCGCTTAACGAGGGCGCGACTACCCAGAATAGTGCCTTGCACTAATTGGGTAGTATGTATATATGTATATGTATATGTGTGTGTGTGTGTTTGTATAAATAATTAATAATTAATAAATAAATTATCCTCCATGAATTTTATCTGCTTACTTGAAAGAAGCCTCTAAAATTCTCAACGGTCATATCACAACTTACATGCGGTTACATTTAATATAATACAGTGGTGCCCCGCATAGCAAGGTTAATCCGTTCCAGATTAACCTTCGCTATGGGGAAACATCGCTAAACGGGTCAAAAAAACACATTGGAACGCATTAAACATCATTTAATGTGTTCCAAATGGACCCAAAACTGACCGTTCTGCGATGTTCCCCCATGTTCCGGCGGCCATTTTGGGTGTTCCGGCGGCCATTTTGGGTGTTCCAGTGGCCATTTTGGGTGTTCCGGCAGCCATTTTGGTGGTTCCTGTGGCCATTTTGGGTGTTCCGGAGGTCATTTTGGGTCTTCCAGCGGCCATTTTGGGTGGTTCCGGTGGCCATTTTGGGTGTTCCGGCGGCCATTTGGAACCGCCGAACAGCTGTTCCCCCTCGCAATGCGAGGAAACATCGGTATGCGATCGCATTAGCGATCGCAAAATCCGCATCGGTATGCGGATTCATCGTTAAACGGTGCGCTCGTTATGCGAGGCACAACCTATCCTAGGTAGGATCTTAGATTTGAAAATCATCCAAGTAATTTATACATCTGGAGATGTTATACTGAGAATAAGTGCTGACAGTTTATCACATCTTAGGTACTTCAGCAGAATTAGAGAAGTTCTAATCATTGCAGAAGTTACCACCAGTTGGACATATTAATCCTTTGAACAAATCAGATGGTAGAAGTTCCTGTAACATGCAAAATTGCATTCTCCTTAATGAGACCTATTCAGAGCAATTGACTCAGATTCCCAGAACTTCACATTCTACATGATATATTTTTAAATTAGACTATAATTGAACACTTAATTTCTAGAGGTACTCTATGAAAAACAGGATTTCTGAAAAGAATGCTTACTCTGCAGCCATCTCTCCTTTCGCAGTTTCATTTTTTCTTTCTTAGACAGTAGTTCCTTCTCATTTTCATCTGAAACATTGCACCAAGAAATAAGAACAAAGCTTATTATACATAAGTAATGGACATCAATTTACATTTCAAATATTTTGAAAATACAACATAGCAAAGTGCATTTTTAAAATTGATAACACTGAATGCAACATAATTAATTAAAACAGAAAATTTAGGACAACAGATGAATGGCATATAAAACAACTAACTCCACCATCATCAACATGTGTTATTTACAGGTGAACATACTCTGTTCCACCTATGTCATAGCAGCCATTAGTCTGATACACCAAAGCATTGAATCTAAGTTATGTAACTGCCGGAACTAGTGCCCACCGTGCCCGAAAGAAACTGTGGTTGGTGGCCCGTTTAGTCTTGGCCCCTGTCCATGGTGCACTACTCTGGTCTCCATAGCAGGATCTTTCAACTGCATTCTTAAGAGAGGGACTGCTCCAGATTAGTGGGAGGAGGATTCCTGTAATTGTCCCTTGGACTACTCTCCCAAACTACAAACTGTGCTGGTCAGAAAAGCCTGTGGACTTGGTGACCAAATATGATATAACAGGCTGCAAGCACGGTTATATTTACATTAATTAATGTGTTAAAAATAAAGTAACAGCAAGGTACAAATCCCAAAGGTTCTAAAATAGTGCACACCAAGTTAAAGATGTCAAAGTTTTATGGTCTTGGAATAATGGCCCTGACAGTTAGGCTCTTCTGTTCTTTATTACAAAGAATTAACACCAACTCTGGTGAGAGTATCCTGGACTGCAAGGAGAACAAACCTATCCATTCTGAAGGAAATCAACCCTGAGTGCTCACTGGCAGGACAGATCCTGAAGCTGAGGCTCCAATACTTTGGCCATCTCATGAGAAGAGAAGACTCCCCGGAAATGACCCTGATGTTGGGAAAGTGTGAAGGCAAGAGGAGAAGGGGATGACAGAGGATGAGATGGTTGGACAGTGTCATCGAAGCTACCAACATGAATTTGACCCAACTCCGGGAGGCAGTGGAGGACAGGAGGGCCTGGTGTGCTCTGGTCCATGGGGTCACGAAGAGTCAGACACGACTAAACAACAACTGGTGTTTTATCTAATCTCTTCCATATCACAAATTCCTTCTTTCGTGCTAGTTTCTCATTCACATTTCGAACTCCTAAAAATCCTCAGCAGTCTCCAAAAGCAACTGCACATCCAAAAGACATGTGTCCCTGTGGCCAGAATTCTTTAGGAGGGGGTGCACCTGGTGCACTAGTTTCAACTACAACTGTACTCTTGGCCACTGCTGAAATCTGGACATCCAGGCTCAGAGTGAATCTAGGACAGGGGTCACGAAACTTTTTTACCTTTTACCCCCCCAAAAAATTTATATACGCCAGCATTACCCCTTGATTCGAAAGGAAGGAAATCATACATTATTTGAATTAAAAATATTATTGAATCTACACAGGCTGTGTACCGAACTAGCAGGATGCACCAAATTTGATAAAGATGTGCACTATTTTTGCTGGAACACATTGCACTCCAGCCATGGTGTGGTATAGGGAGTAGTAAGGTGTCCAACATGCCTAGCAAGTTGCATTAAATTTTTGCTAGCTTGCAGAGGATTTAATCATCACCAGTGTGGCGCTAGCAATGACATGCTTGCTAGAGACAGTCAATGCAGAATTGGGGAGGAGGCTTTCCCTACCACTTTAATCATTCTATGTGTGGTGTGCAAAAAGGAACAAACCAGGCTAAAGGCCATGTCACCCACCCTGGTGCCACAGCCCAAAATCAAAGGACCATTGCGCTATTTTTTTAAATCATCATCATGAGAAAATTCAGCAGTGGCCAGAGGATTGGAAAAGATCAGTCTACATCCCAATCCCAAAGAAGGGCAGTGCCAAAGAATGCCCCAACTACTGTACAATTGCACTCATTTCCCACTCTAGCAAGGTTATGCTCAAAATTCTCCAAGGTAGGCTTCAG